TCTTTCTCGCGAGCACTAACTTCCGACACAGCACCTGCAGAAGCGTGACTTGGCGGCCATCGGCCTCGGGCCAACCATGGACACAAATCGATCATATCGCGATCAGTTACCACTGGAGGGGCTGTGTATAGAATTGTCGCTCAATTTGGAGCACGAGCGTGGACTCTGACCACGCACTTGTCTGTGCCGACCTCCGGGTGCGTTTCGGTGGACGTCCGCAACGTCGAGGTGAACGGATTGACACCAGCCAGCTGGCGAAGCCAGATGTTCTGAATGTATACCATAGTGCGCTGACATCCGGGCTGGGTAAGCGCCCACTAAACACCGTTGAAGATCACTGGTTGCATATTCGTCAAACGTTACTGTCCGCAGGCGTGTCTTCATGTGGTAAAGCAAATTGCCAAACCGGACACTGGGTCTCTACACAGTCTATGGAACTTATGGATGCTCGCCGACGTATTCCGGCTGGAAGCGAATACAATGAGGCTCGCAAAAATCTCAGGGCAAAACTACGGGCTAGCCTGAAGAAGGACCGCGAAACCTGGTGGTCTCATCGTGCCTCTGAGATGGAAACAGCCGCTGCCGTTGGTAATCATCGTAAGTTATTCCGTCTGATACGGGAATCAGGCAGCAGGAGACCTGTTAGCGAGACCATACGCGACGAGAGTGGGCAGCCGATCCACAGCTTGTCAAAACGCATGGAGCGTTGGGCCGAACACTTTGCAAGGCAATTTAACAAACCTGCGTTATCACTTTCTTCTTCGGGCATTGAGCGCCCTTCTCCTTGGGCCGTCTCCTTGGATCCGCCCTCACGCGCAGAGGTCGAACGTGAGATCCGGCTGTTGAAATTGCATAAGTCCTCAGGAGCAGATAGAATTCCCCCAGCCCTCTTCAAATTCGGTGGACCTGCTCTAGTAGATGATCTACACGAGTTGCTAGTAAGACTTTGGGAGCAGGAGACAGTCCCGACAGACTGGAACCGCTCCGTCATTGTCCCAATTTTCAAGGGAGGCTCTCGTAATATAGAGGGATCAGTCTGATTTCGATTGCCTCTAAATTGCTTGCTTCTGTCATTCTCCACAGACTGACTGGCACTCGTGAAAGCCAGATTCGGGAAGAGCAAGCCGGATTTCGTCGAGGTCGGGGCTGCATCGACCACATCTTCACATTGCGTCAAGTGTTGGAGCACCGCCATGTTTATTGGCGACCCACCGTTGTCGTGTTCGCTGGACACGACCTGATGGTGTGGAGCTACTTCCTGGTGAGCGACTTCTTGACTTGGAGTATGCGGATGATATTGCCCTAATCTGTGACAGCCTCCAAACATGCCAAAGAGCACTGGACCGATTAGCACCGGCTGTCAATCGTTTTGGGCTATGCTTTGCTCCATGGAAATGCAAAGTAGTTCTCCAAGATTGGCAGGGACCCAACCCTGCGCTAACGCTTGGTGGTGATCTGCTAGAAGTCGTTCAGGAATTCAAGTACCTGGGCAGCTATATTAGCACCCGTGGGATTGAAGATGAGGTTACGAACCGCATAGCAAAAGCTCGAGGTGCTTTTGCCAATCTCCGCCACCTGTGGCGCAGACGCGACATTACTCTCGCCCTGAAAGGTAGAGTTTACAACGCAGCCGTCCGTTCTACTCTCTTATATGGTTGTGAAACCTGGCCCATCAGGTCGACTGACATGAAGAGACTCGTCACATTCGATCATCGCTGCCTTCGCAGCTTAGCTCATGTCTGGTGGGAACACCGCGTGAGCAATGAGCTTGTTCGACGTCGCGTATTTGGTGCAGGAAGAGCGAGTGAACCGCTCAGCACCATTATATCACGCACCAGGCTCCGATGGCTGGGCCACGTGTTGCGCATGCCAGCACACCGACTACCGCGACGTGCATTGTTTGCGCGTTGTGGGTGCGGTTGGAAGAGGAGGAGGGGAGGCCAAGTGATGACTTGGTCGAGAGAAATGAAAACCCTCACTTCGAAGTTGGCGTCGGTTGGTGCATCCCGACTGCCTGGCTGGGGTCCTAAGGACGATGAACACGTTTGGTTGGACACACTTGCTGATATGGCTAGGAGCCGGCACCAATGGCGTTTGTGTTGTGATTTCCTTTGCCCATCCCCCTCCTTTTTAATATCCCCCTCCAATCACGATCTCATCTCTTAGGCATAATATGATTCTCTTTTTACGGCAGCCAGCTGTTAGCTCTCCGGAACGATGTCTATCCGTTACTGGGGACTCAGCGGGCATGACAGTGTTTGTTTTCCTTTTCTTGTCTTTTGTATTGCGGCACAATAGCTGAGGTGTTTTCCACCTTCAGCTAACGTGTAATGATGATGATGATGATGATGATGTGTTACTCATGGCAGCACACCGACGCCTGCGACGCGTATTGTTTGCGAGCCGGGGGTGAAGTTAGAAGAGGAAGAGGGGAGGCCAAGCGTTGACTTGGTCGAGAGGAAAGAAAATCCTTACTTCGAAACTGGCATCGGTTGGTGCATCACGACTGTCTGGCTAGGGTCCTAAAGACGATGAACACATCTCCTTGGACACAATTTATATCTCGAAGAGCCGGCCGCAATGGCGTTTGTGTTACGAGTTTCTTTGTTTATTTCCGCGCTTTAGGTTCCCCACCAATTCCGATCTCATGCAAAATGCATAATATAACATTTAACCTCATACTTTGTAGTGTAATTTGTGGTGTAATATTTTTAGTCTCCTTTTATAGCGGCATATTAGCCCAGGTGTGTTTATCCCCCTCAGCTAACGTGTACCGACGAGGGTGATGATGCCATATATATGGAACACAGTTTCTCCTTTAACTGCCGCCAGTAAACGATCTTGGTGTAAGCTGCTAAAGTGTTACAATTTCGTGTGTACAAACGTAGTTCAAGGTGAATCCCGCATGTTGCTGGATGAATATTACATCCAAAGTCCAGATTTTGCGAAAGAAGAAGTCAATTCCTTAGTAGAATGAATTAAGAAGAATTGGATATGTAAGCCATTATTTGCTTAAACAACTAACCAGAAGTAGGCATCCACAATTAAAATTTGAGAGTTTGAATGAACTAGAAATAGCAAGTGTTTGCATAGACTATATTTAGAGTGATTATACCAGATATTTGTATGAGCAAAGGAAATGAAAACAAGCATAAACAAGTTTTCGGAAGCATCCGACTTTAAATGGATTTGCTATTCAGAAAAAAGTAAAAGTAAAATTATAAGTTGATGTGGGAAAACAAAAACAACACTCAAAATGTATCAATGCAGCCATAATGCCATTGGTTTAAGTGTATTTAATAGCGTTAGACGAAACCTAATTAAATTCGTGGCAGTAACACTCTTCAGTGGTAAATTACCGACGTTTTGAAAGGTCGGACTATGAAGGTAAGAACAAAAGAAACGCTTATTAAGCCAGTGATAATGGCCAGCAGATTTCTACAGGACACTGTGCTTGGACCTGTACTGTTCATGCCGTATATAAATGATCTGCCAGCAATACCCCAAAGCAAATGTTTGATCTATGCCGATGACTTCAAGCGTTGGTCTATAATGGCCGATCTTGACGCAACTGATCGACTGCAGGTGACACTCGGTTTATTGTACAACAGGTCCATCAAGTAGGGTCAACTAATATTTTAGATAAGTGTTGCATCCTAACGAGTGGGGTCTTTGAACCACTTAGATGTTACCCCATTTAGGAGTTTTATTCTCAAATTTGCCGCTCAGAAAAAAGGTTTATGCGTAATAGTAGCACTGACCTAAAAACCAAGACAGGATGCACTAAAAGAGTCGCCGCTGCAAACAGGATGAGATGTGTCATGAGATCTTCCTTACGAATGAGTTTGAAAATCTTTAGGCTCCTGTTCACTTCTCGTGTACGAGCAATTCAAGAGTATACTATAACAACAGCATACCTCCTCTCTAAGTATGAATGTGCCTTAATCGAATAGGTCCAGTGGCGTGACCCGAAGTTCATTTTCGGACTTTGTGAGTTTCATTACTACCACTGGCTTCAGAAAATGAATCTGTTCTCTACTGAATACAGTCATTAACGTAAAGACTTCATCTTCACGAAGCGTATAATATAAGCAGAACTAGGAAACGAGCCACAACAATTATTCCGATTCAACATAGGTGATCCGACACGATGTTCAAACTGAAAGCTATTCGATCCGAAAAGGCAAAGTCCGAAACGCTGTCACTGTCTCTAATAGGATACTGAATGATTAGAAGCGTATAGCGGAGACTGTTATTAAAGCACTGATCGAAGAATGTTTTAAACTGCTTTTGTACCAAGGCCTACATAAAACACCTGGACCGTTCTGTCTTACTTCGACTGCTCCAGTTCCCTGATGAGTACCTGGCCGCGATGAAATGCATGTTCCTATCGTTGAATCGGGGATGATACAAACAAGGAACCTCCATTCTGCTCATTACAACTCGATGAACTCAATACATTTAGAAGTGTCGCGAACTACACCATGTGTTATTACACTCACGACATGCGGGGCCATGGTAACATATGGGACAAGATAAGAGCAGGAGCTGAACAAAACAGAAATAGTGGCACAAAAAAGCACTGCAAGATTTGTTCTGACAGTCCGATTGCAATTAAACAATTGTTCCGTTTGAGCATTTTCTTACTCTTAACTGCTTCCACAGGAAGGTCAGTGGACTGTCGCCGCAGCGACAGTACCGCCTGTGTTTTTCATCGAGTAAAAGCTTTAAAATATGCTGAAACTAACACTATGGTAATCCAACCATTTTATGTATTTAGCTAATTAAAGGTAGATAAATTTTGTTATAAATATACTTTGAAATAAAATCCAAACTACCGGATTTGTAAACGGTTTTCTCCAACAAAAATGATTATTACAAACTAACGCGATATTTTGCAGTGCTATGTTAAAAATGCCAAAACACCGTTAACACGCTTACTGAAGAAAGAATACACTTTAGTGTAAACCATGTAACATTCCAAAAGCTATTTGAATTACCTTGTAAGTTGGTGTGTTAGTAATTTGGTTGTCTCCACTCATCCGTACGATTGACACATCGAAAGCACATGCAGACCGGGACACTCACATAGCAGCTGGGACCTACTGGAGGGTGTGTGGTGCTTCCCATCCTTTGAGAAAATTTGCTTGCTTGTTGTTGCTGTTATTGAAGTTTAGTAATGTAGTAAAAATGCGTTTTATATTTTTGGTAACTGATGTTGTTTTGTTAAACAGTGTAATGCCTTTATATTTATCTTCGTAATTTAAATGTAATTTGCTACTCGCTCCATTGCATGCATGCAGCGCAACGTATGTGTGTGCATTGTTTATGTGACATTTTGCTTGACATTTTACTTGATATGTTTACTTTTCTCATCTAACAGTTTATTCTTATTTTCTTAAACGCCAGTTGTACCGCTGAACGCAGAGTACTCAACTCCTTGCCCGCCATGTGTGAGCGCTTTGTTCCCAATCGTAGGAAAAATCCATGTTGAATACATCATGTTAATCTAAGGCCAAACACATGCCTGGTCATTTATTTCAACACACATTTTGTAAGATTTAAAACAGGGTTATACTACACTGTTATAATTTTGAACTTGTAAGTTTTACAGTATCTTTACCGCTTATAAGCTGAACGTTATAACCAGGTATGCAAATAAGTAGCAGATGGCGTTCATCATATTTATTCCCTTGTAGTAGTGTGAAAACTGGTCCTGGACTACGGCACCACCACGAAACAGTTTACAGAAATGATAGGACAGCGATAACATTTAGGTGTGACTGGTTGGGCTAAATCCAAATATGTACTTCACTCCCTCCGACGGAAAAATGGAAAGACTGTATTTCAGTGTCGGTTCGGTGCAACTCAGACTCATCAGGCACGCAGACGAAACAAAATCAATAAGTCTTTGTAGAAAGACAGAACGGGCGCTGCAGGTCGCGAATTGTAGGTGTAACGAAAAGGTGGTCAATTAAAACAACGGTATAACACGGATGGAAAAAGGATTGATGCAAAAATGTAAAATCTATAAACACTACAGGACTGCCCCATAGAGCGTAAGTGGACAAGCGAATGCTCGATATATATGCCTTAATGATTGCAAAATGTCAGTTTGTAAGGGGAAGCACAATACGGCCAAAACGTATGCTTTTGTGTGTGGGAGTAGTTGCAGTGGGTGTCGCAGGGCGTTGCGAGGAAGGTACCCTGGGTTCACACTCAGGCCGTGTAAGTGACGTGCTTGTTTGTAGATTAGCATCAGGAACAGATAAGTCTGTAAAATACTGCGGCATGGAAAACTCGATGTAAGCTGGTTTTTAACGATCGATGCTCACAGAGTTATTGCAAATATTCCGGTACCACGCAACATACTCGTCCTAGCGGTCGATATGCTTGTGAGGGCTTTGTAGTGTGGTATCAGAGGTTTACTAACAGTATCGATGGGAACAAGAACGTAGCGTCAATCGCGAAGATTACGGTAAACCGGTGGGTATACAAGGCGTCAGTCGTTGAAGGGTTGAGTGTACCCGAGCTAAAGTGACTCCTTAGCTTTGTGACAGGAAACCGGATCTACTTCCTCACTTACCCTCGAACCTAGCGCCATCTCTCCAGGCGATCTAAGTAAGGTGCCAACGACTAATTCAGCCGGACAACAGCCAACATATTTCTTTATAGCTTTACGTATATCAAGCAGGATATTTGAAAAACGCTCCGACCATCGCGTGCTCCACTGAGGAGCAGTACTCGAAGCTTTCAGTGGCGCTGGTAGCCTTCGACCTAACCATTGGTAGCGTGACGGTGAGCGGGTGTGCGCAAATGAGAACAACTGGGCAAACTATGCCGTTCACGAAAAAACGAAAATTGGATTTTGGCTTTCTATCTCTCTGTACAGTAGCAAGTGTGCCAATGCAAGAACTCCAAGACTCATTGAAAGTTTTTGCTACTGTTTCCGAGCAAATTTCGCCTAATGGCACCACGTGCGCCCAACACCTGACTCCATTGACACAAGTCGGCAATTAATAAAAACCGCTGCATGGTGGTAGTGCCCAACTACATCCAGATGGACATGTTTGAAACTAACATCCGGTAAGGAAAGGGTGCCGGAGACAGTGCTTGCAGGGTGACGTACCCTGTTGTGCTGACACTATACAGTGCTTTGCACATTTTCGGAGGTCATAGCGCATAGTGTGCCAGCCAAAGCGTACTGTGAGATACTTAAAAGTTCCCGCATTCTTGCACGCGAGACAGTGGAAAGGAACGTGAACTACGCGGTGATCTCATTGCGGAGCGTAGGGTCGATGTTTACCCGGTAACGTAACACGATGAGCTATAGAGTCCGAGTTAAGCAACAGCAGAAGCGTACGTTTGGAACGAATGGTTTGCGTTCATCCGCAAAAAACCAGTACCTCTTGCTTGATGAGCAGCTGTTTCGTCCAGACTAATTGCCGGACACAAAGTCCTTGAAGTCTTATGTAGGATAGTGATTCGACTATCACTTTGACGATAGCGTCCATATGAGGTACGTCGTTCGTAAACTGCGATGTGTAATCAAGGTTCCGGGTTCCAGGGGGGAAATGGTACGATGATACTCAGAGGGCAAAACAAGGGGCTTATCATTGATAAGAATGGTAAAGGAGGGACTTTCGAGAGTTCGAAGATGTTTACTACCATGATAGTTGGCTAACGTCCTCTTCCGAAGATACTATACCTGGTTTGTGCGGGTTGTACTCTATGCTTGAAAAACGATGATGGTGTGGAATGTCCATTGTGGAATTGTTGTAGTAAGACTTTAACTGCCGTCTGTGACACATAGGTTGTAAGAATGTTTGATGTATTAACATCAGCCCGCAACTCGCTCAACTCAGTGACTTCGGACAAAAGATGATTACTATTTTCGAAAGCTTCTGGTGCTACGGCAGTGTGTTTGTAGTGGTCGGAACAATCCCGTAGTAAAAGGCAATAAGTTGGAGCGAGGCAACTCACAATCCAACCACAGTTGGATTCGAGTCGTAGGTTGCGCTAGACCTGTGGCACACAATGGAAATAGACGTTCGATAGTAATTCCGAATATACTATCCGATTCGCAAACGGAGTGGACGGCAACAATATGCACCCAGAAGCAGCACAGCCAGAAATCAGCACGTCTGAACGCGGGGCACGAAGAAGTATATATTAAATAAATAAATAAATAAATAAATATTTATTCTCGACTATGCGAGGCACACCAGTTGAGGCATGATCAGGTATGTACAGCTGTGCAGACATTTTATGGGAACTGTAGTGACAGTAGAAAATTGTTCATATGTCCATGCTTGTAACTGTGCGATGGTGAACATGCGAAAGAACGATTTGTTTGGACACAATCGCTCTGCCATATATCGCAGTCATACCTCGAGTAATAATAGATAAAGAATCCTGAGTGATCCATTGGAAGATAATTGAAGAGCAAGCTATCCAGTATGATGATTCTAATTGAGCTGCCAGTGTGAAGTTACGGGCTGTAAGCATTAATTCAAACCAACTGTACAAAAGATGTCGCGATAAAATGCTAATAGGAAAAACAAAATATAAACGACTAATAACTATTACATAACTCCCCCGTAGAGTGTCAAGGGGTAAGGCAACGCTCGATATAACTATTTATGGAACAAACTCAGCTAGTTTGGAGGGGAAAGACACAGAACGTTTTGAACGTGTGTGCTTTGGATCATTGGTTGAGCTAGCGCAGGTAGGTTCTGGAGCATTGGAATCAGTCGGTTGACCAACTGGCGGTACCAACTTCGGATCAGCCAAAGTAACGGCTGGCTCAACATAAGGGGGTCTAAGACGGGCAATACTCACAAATTCTTTCGATCCATTCCTTGCCAGTGTGAAGTACTTAGGTTTCCGTGACAACACTTTAAAGGACCTTCAGAAGTGGGTGTCAAGAACTTGCAAACTGCACCAATGCGAATGAAAACAAAAGGACAAGTGTGTACGTACGGATGAATTGGTTGCTCGCGGGCAGTGAAACGAGTAAACGTTGGTATTGTTCGGAAGTGTTGTTTAAAACTCTCGGCATAGGACACAGGATCAACTACACCAAGGACTCGGGAATCTAAAAGCATCTCACCTAGAAGTCTAAGCGTAGTGCAAAAGATCAGTACGGCAGGGCTTCATCCAATATCTTCTTTGACGGTAGTATAAATACCGGGAAGGACATCTGGGATACGTTCAGACCAATGTGGGTCAGGTGAGTTAGCTGTGATGACGGTTTTAAGCTGTCGATGGAAACGCTCGGCAACGCCATTCGAATCTGGATGAAAAGTAATTGTCTGAATGTGAGTACAACCTAACAGATGATTCAAGTCACGGAACAAGGTGGAACTAAACTGAGAACCTCCATCTGTAGTGATCATAGATGATACACCGAAGAAGAAAACCCATGAGTCGAAAACTGCACGGGCAACAGTTTCTGAAGATGTGTCACGTAAAGGAACGGTATGTGGCCAACGAGTAAAACGCTCAACAAAAGTCAGATTGAAAGTGAAAGTGTTCGATGGAGGAAGCGGTATGACTATGTCTAGGTGGACATGTCTAAAACGCGCCTCAGGTAATGAGAATGTTCCTGGGGCAGTGATAGTGTGTTTGTGTACTTTGCTGCTCTGGCAGCTGAGGCGGTGGTTAGCCCATTGACGGATTTCGGAGCGCATACTCGGCCAGATGAAACGATCAGTAATCAACTTCACCGTGGATCGAATGCTAGGATGCGATAGTCCATGAAAATGGCCAAAGCCGGTTGACCAGAAAGACTGTGGAACAAACGGTCGTGGCTTACAGGTAGGGACATCGCAGTGGAGCCTTGCATCTGGGTTTAAAATAGACGCTCGCAGGAAGTTCAATGGGGTATCCGGTCGGTATCCGCTTTCAGGATCGTTGTTCTGGGCAACAGACACTTCTTCAAGGTCTATTGGAGAGGACGGCAAATGATATATGTGAGCGTGTGAAAGTGCATCAGCGACAACTTTATTTGTACCCTCGAGGTAGCGAATATCGACAAAAC